CAAGTCTTCATGGTAGGGTTTAGGGCTCGCAATGGCCAGGGCTCGCGGACTCGACTACCTGCAACCCACAACAGGAACTCCCCGGCTCACCATCCTGTCCGAACAGCTTCCCACCGGCCGCTGCTGGGCTAAGCTTCTGCACCTGCGGTGCTCAGCGGCTGCCGTAGGATTTGGGATGACTTCATCCCGTTGGCTAAGGGGTCACGGGCTCAGGCAACTGTGGATGCGGCTTCTGCATGCTTTTTGGTGGGGTCAGCTTGAGTTCCAGGCCTGCTGCATCGGCTGATGCTCAGGCATCTGCATGGGCTGCTGCATCTGCATCGCGGGAAAAGGCTGGGGACAGGCAGCTGGGAAAGCAGCCCCAGGCGGCGCCTTGCAAGGACTTTGTGCTTTACTAAAGCGTGCCAGACGCGTCGTGCTGCACGCCTTCTCTACGACGACACGTAACAGGAAACAACACCCAAGCGCGACTTGCTGTGGTGTGGGCGGCGACATCCGCCTCGAACCAAACCAATGCGACTCCTTCCTAGCCTGCACAGAAGCTGGAGAAGCCTGCTGCAAGTAGCCACTGGATGGCATGTAGCCATTAGGCTGCGAGAAAGCCGGCTGACCTATGACCTCGGCCAAAACTTTCGGACTTACTTGACTCATCAAGCTGCATGGGTATTGGCATTGGGTTTGGCTGAGGGAGCTGTTAGTTTTATACCCCTTCAACAAACTCAATAATACCATCAGGGCGCCACCTTGCGAATCAAAAAATATGGTCTGCCACTCCCCTCTCCACGTTTGGCCAAGCCGCTTGCCAGGATTGCAGCGAAGCGGCCTCTCCCAAATCCAGAGGGTGTTTGGGGAGGTTCTCAATTCTCAGTTCTGGCTTCAGTGCATGAGGTGCTCCCGCTCGCCTGCTGTGGTGGGGCCTGTGCCGCGGCGTAGGGACCAGGGGTCATGCCGGGCGCGGGCTGCGAGAAAGATGGCTGACCTACGACCTCGGTCAACACTTTGACTGAAGCCCGGGCGGCCACTTGACTCTTCGAGCTGCATGGGCGTTGGCTGTGAGCTTGAACCTTTTTACAGACTTAATCATACCATCATTAAAACCAATTAGCAGCTGTTGGCCGGACTTGCAACAAGGCGACAATTGGTATCTCGGATACACCAATGGACACAATCACACAGTGCTGAAGACGGCTCGGAAAAGGACTCCGCGAATTTGGCCTGCCACGCCCCTCTCCAATTTTAGCCAAGCCGCTTGCCAGGATTGCAGCGAAGCGGCCGAGGGTGTCTGGGGATGTTTTTCAGTTCTGGCTTCAGTGGCCCAAGGACCAAGGATGCATGAAGTGCTTTGCAGCTCATGTTTTTGTACCTTCCTGTATCCAACCACTCGCCTGCTGAGGATGCTGAGGTGAGGCCTGCGCCGTGGCGAAGGCACCGGGCGTCGGGCCGGGCGCGGGCTGCGAGAAAGATGGCTGGCCAACGACCTCGCCCACGCTTGGCCAGCGGCCCTCCGCTTTGGGCTTGGTCGGTTTTGGAGTCATGGCCAGGGGCTGAAGACAGGGCCTTGGGAGCGCGCGTGGATTTTTTGCGAACCTGTAGACCTACATCTGTACTTCCCATCATCAGCAACAAGCAGATCAGACCTACCGAAGGTGAAGCAGCAAGAAGAAGAAGAAGACGAGGGAGCTTAGATCAGCGCACTACGGCCGCCACCCAACTGCACAATCTCCCTTTGTGTTGGGGAGCTACTTATGCTACGGGTTTAGGGTTTAGTTTAGGGTTTAGGGTTGAGGGTTGAGGGTTTAGGGTTGCTACTTATGGATCTTTGCCTGAGCCCTGAAACCCCTGAGGAGGGCTGCGCGTCATGACTTGAAGTTGCCAGGTTCATACAAGCACCCACAGGCCACCCCCAAACCCTGAATCCCGAACCATCACGGTCTCTTCGCGCCTGCCAGTCTTGCGTCAGGCCGGTCATGTTGCGATGGCCAGAGGGAGTATCTACACTAAACACTGCGATTGGGAAAGGCTGGAAAGGGCTGCAGACAAAGGGGAAGCACTGGCCTGTGACGGAGGCTCTGACCACAAGACCCAAAAAGAAAAACCTCGCACCTCAGCCCCCAAGCCTCACCGATCCTCACCGAGAGCCACTGAAGCCCCCCCACTTAAAATTTGACAGTGATCCCAAGCGATGATGCCCTCTAGGCGTCGCTCCCCGAGGTGCTGGATCTGCTCCGGCTCCGGCAGCGGCTTCTCCTGAAGAATTCGGGGGAAGCAGCCTTGAGCTTCTAGCCGGGGGTCTCATACTTGGTCTTCGGGCAGCGGGCTAGAGGATTCCTCCCGCTTTGTCCATTTTGGAGGTTTCCGGTCCAGATTCCCGAGAACAATGCCGGTCAGACCTCCTGAGAAGACCCTCCCTTAGACACACACCCAATATAAGCAGAGGCCCCCCGAACTTCTCCCGGCCCGAAACCCTAATCCCTGACCCCCAAAACCCTAAACTCTAAACCCTAAACCCCTTTCTGTCGCTCTGAAGGGTGCCTTGCGGAGCGCGGCCTCGAGGCCCTTGAAGGCCGCCAGCCGCTCGGCCCTCTGAGGGCTTTCCGAAAGAGAGACAAGAAGGCCGTCTGGTTTAGGGTTTAGGGTTTAGGGTTTAGGGTTTAGGGTTTAGGGTTTAGGGTTTAGGGTTTAGGGTTTAGGGTTTAGGGTTTAGGGTTGAGGGAAGGAGGCATATATGCTCTTCGAGGGGCGCAAGATGCGTGTGCTCTCTTCGAGTCTCCTCTGCTGCCTACTGTACGTCTTTCTTCGTCTCTGCTCTCATTGCAATGGAAGGAGCAGAGATCTTCAAGCTTTACATGTTAAGCTCTAGATCCGCCAGGCCGAAGCCAAGAACGACCAAAGGCCACACCTCCCCGAGAGACAAGCTCTAGTAGCCCGGTGCCTCTGCTCTGACGTGAGGGTCACGGAGAAGCCTTGGGAAAGCCGTCGGGGGGCATCTTGGATCGGAAGCCAAGAAGAGACAGGAGCTGGCACTCTAAGTGCTTCTTCGGGCCCATAAGAGGTACCAAGTACCCTCTTAAAAAAAAAAAAAAAAAAAAAAAAAAAAAAAAAACTCAAGCTGGGGACGCTGAGCTCGAAGCGCTAAGCACTTTGAACTCAGGTCCCATGGCATGCTCCGGGTCTCGGGCTTTTTGTCCCCACTCGGCCTGCGAGTCATATCAGCTGCACCCTCATCCCCTGCGACCTTTGGGATGGGGCTCAGGAGACTTCCCAAGACGTCTGCTTTGGGGGATTTGATGGTGCGGATGGGTCAGTTTACTCTTCAGGGGGTGTCTTGACTTCCAACGGGTCTTCCCGTTGCGGGTCTTAGAAGGTACTGAGGGTCAGCCATCCACGCTCCGGGTCCGGGTATTCACCCGCATCCCCGCCTTTTGTGGGCGCCTCGGGCTCGAAGGGGCAGTCGCGACCCTGAGCGCACGAGGAGCTGCCGAGTTGTGGGGCGCACTGGACAGTCCCTCAGCACAGAAAATACCCAGAAGCTGTAAATGCTGACGACACCCGAAAAAGTCGCCCTAAACCCCAAAGCAAACGTTGGGATTGACTCGGGGTCTTAGAGCTCCAAGCGCGCCATAGTGCTGAGATCTCCGAGCTGTCAGCGACATATGGAGGGGTAGTGATCTACAGTGCGGGCCTTTTGAAGCCTCTTGGGGCTCGTTTGGCGTACCAATGAATCCCGTACACGCGAGTTTCTAAGGATGAAGTACTTTGGCATCGGATGCGATGAATCCTGAGGTGCTCCTTGGGTAAGCCCGGAAACTCCACACCAAACCTGGCAGACCAAAGATGAAGGGCCGAAACAAACCTCACATCCAAGCCGCGCCTTCGATCGAACCCCCCCGCAAAGCTAGAAGAAGCAGAGCCCGCACAGAACCCCACATGCACACTCCTTACAACCTCCCTGCACTCAACCCCTGAGCCTTGTGGCAAGGGAATCCGCACTTGGTACCTTGGCGGGAAGGCACTGGGAGTGCGGGAGGGGGGCTCCACGAACCCCTCGGTTCGGAGAGCTCACGAGATGCCCTTCCAAGGGGTCAGTCTGCCTCACTGAGACCCCTCAGCCAGCCACTCCTACTCTGAGCCCCTCCAGGCCCCCCCGCACGTCTCCACAGTTCTCAGCATGATCTCCGGGGAGGGCGCCGTGGTCTCCGAGCACAAGGGCACACCAGGAGGCACAGTTCAGGCTCGGCATTTCGCGATATTTACATCTGTGGCTTGAGCACAACTACCGTGGCTTCCTTTAAACGGATAGTAACCCGAAGGCGCACGGTCACGCAGTCACGCAGTGCGACGCCCGCAACGCTTTCGAGGCTGGGTTAGAACTGTGCTGGCGGCGAGCCACGGCCAGCCTTGCGCCCGACCATGGCAGCGGCGATCTCCTCGGGAGCAGAGCCGCTTGACATAGCAACGCATAGTGTTGCACGTTGGCGGGGCTTCAGGCCCGGAGATTCGGAACGGCTTTTGGAGCCCAGTTGGGTCCATGAGGGCCCGCTGGGAACTCTACTTGGGGCATCCTCCTACTCCGCATTCCAACCCACAAGCACTTGGAGGCTCCGTTGGCACCTAACGAACTTCAGCTGGGGACGGCTATGGCCTTGTTTGCTCAGAAACCGTCTGCCCGTCCTTGTGGTTGTTGTTGGCGTGGTGCTCCCTGGCTTCTCCAAGGAGGCTTGCTTCAAACTTCATCCCACCGAACTGACGAGACTGGTCCTACACCTTCATGCAATTTCGGCAGGCTCATCTTACGAGCACGAAGGGGGCAAGTGCAGTGTGGACTATGGACTCTAGGCATGTCCGGGATGCAGTGCCAGCAGCGTCCTTCGAACCCCCACCATGCTCCAACCCGCCTTAGCCTAGAAACCAACAGCGAACACGGGGGAGGGGGGGGGGGTCGAAGGCTTTAGAGCGCAGGAGGCGCCAACGGTGGGGATCCGGATTTGGGGGTGCACGGTTCACCTCGCGCACGCATCTTTCCGCACGTGGGAGAGCCAAGCGATAGCGGCGTCGTAGGAAGCATTGGCCAGGTCGCCAATGGCCATCTCGAAAGTATGCCGGGCCAGGGGGACGGTGAAGAGATGATCCTGAGGGTGTGCTTCTCTGGGGCCTTAAAGGCACATGGGTTGCGGCGCACGGTTGAAGTTCAAGGAGGTGAGGTAAGTTCCTGCATAGCCTCTGCTACTGCACTACAACGCAGGTGGACGAACCACGCTGATGGCAGCCCAACCCTGAGAGTCTTGGTTTGAACAGGCTCTGAACCGCCCTTGATCTTCAAAGCCTGGACCCTCTCCTGGCTTCTCAGGTCGTCTCCACCCTGCTTTTGGGTGCCAGACGCAGCTGCAAGCTGTGTCAAGAAGCGGCGACTGTGTTCCTCGGGCCGTGGACGTGCAAGCACTTTAGGGACTCTGCGTTCAAGGGAACCATCAAAGCTGCTTTCCAAAGGAACATCAGATGAACTGCTGGCAAAGCGACCACCGGGACCACGCCATCCAACTCACCGTGGACGATCAGAGTCGGGGGCCACGCTTCTGCGAGCTCGCGGCTGGCAGCGGACGCAGACTGCAAAGCTTCCAGGGGCTCAGCGGATGGCCACAGCCGGCGATCTTGCCAGAGGACGAACACCTGTTCCCGTTGGGGGCGACTTCAGTTTCGGAGTGACCGGGTGCTTCCTTTGAAAGCCCGACCTCAACTCCGTTGATCCAAAACCCCCACCTCGAAGAACCAAGCGAGGAAACTCATCCCATGCCTCACTCCCAGGCATCTGCAGGAAAATGGGGACCTCGCTTGATATTTTGTTGGCCTAACCGCTAGCCCTACTATAGCCATCTCAACGTTGTTGTGCGAAGGAGTCAGAAGTTTAAAACACAGACAACGAGAACTCCTTCTCAAGAACACGCTGGGGGAGCTTCACGGTGGCGCCGGTGCGATCTCCAGGATCCAGGGCAGGGTAGAAGAGCAGGGCGGCGCGGAATCGGATGGAGGAGGGGCGCTCGCCCAGGCTCCGAGCCTACAGGGGCCCTAACGGGGCACATGTCGAGGGGGGGGGCGTCCTCAACATTAGATGAGGGTCCTGGCGGCCTAAGAGGTCAGCTTCGGAGTTTCGAGGCTTCGGGTTTCGGTCTGGGGCGGGTCTCCCGCCAGCAGCAGCGCCGCCAGGTGGCCCCCGGCAGAGGTGCCGGCAATGGAGACATCCGACCTTGGCTGACTCAGCACTAAACACAAAACGACCCTTAAAGTAAGAGCCTCCCCTACGACCCTAACCTCCCACGCCCTTAAACCCTGTAAAAAACATGAAACCTTAAGCCCTGGAACCCTTAAACGCCCTAAGCCCCGACCTAAATCCTGAACCCTGAACCCTGAGCTCCCAAAACCCTGAACCTTAATTAACCTGAACCCTTAAACCCGAACCCTTAAAGCCCTGAACCCCGAGCCCTCGAAGCCCTAAACCCTAAACCCCTAAACCCTAAACCCTAAACCCTAAACCCCCAACCCTTGAAGCCCCAAAGCCGGGCGCGGGGCAGGTCGGCTCCAAGCCCGGCGGCCTCGGCCTCCAGCCACTCCAGGGCTGCCAAGCAGTCCTCTTTAGGGTTTAGGGTTTAGGGTTTAGGGTTTCGGGTTTAGGGTTTAGGGTTTAGGGTTCAGGGTTTAGGGTTTAGGGTTTAGGGTTTAGGGTTTAGGGTTTAGGGTTTAGGGTTTAGTTTAGGGTTTAGGGTTTAGGGTTTGGGGGGATGAGAGTTTTGGTTTGAGGGGTTCTGTGCCTTGTGCAGCTGAACAAACCCCAACCCCGAAAATAAATGTGAAGTATGACTGTTAGTAAACTGGTGCCCCGAAAGGGGCAACAAAATACTACACACTCACCAATCTTTATTAAGGAGCCCAATGTACAATCACAGAGAACAGCAACACAAAATGGGAAAAAAAACACCTGTTCCGTCTTTTGGGGTCCTCCAGCTGCATCGGCCACTGTGTGCCCAGCCGCCGCCGGTACTCGAAGCTGACGACCAAGAAGCCATCCGCGGCCAGGGCCTCTGCCAAGCACTTCCACGCTTCGTTCATAGAGTCACATGTGACCCCGGGTCAAGGCCCTTAGGGCAATGAGAAGTTTCGGAAATCTTCGGTGCAAGAACCCACGAGGTGCTGCTGCATGTTGCCTTACTACGTTGCTTTAGGTTGTACGACGAGGTGCCTGGAGCAGTGGCCCCTGTGGCGAGACCCGCGCCCCGCCACCCCGCCAGGCGCCGCCGTGAAGCAGGATCCTGGGCTTCCTATACGCTGAACTTCCTATACACCTCAGCAGCTCAGCATGCACAGATTCTTCGGTTTCGGGGTGGGCTTCTCTGCCCCTAACCATCTACGTATCCGGCCGAGAGGCAGCACTGGGCGCGGCGCCGCCGGAGCGAGGCCCGCCGCGGCCGGGGCCTCGAGGACACTTTGGGCCCCCCAAACTCACAAACAACCGAATAACACCAAGAACAACACAACAGGCTTGACACTGGCTCGACATTTGGTACTGGGTGGTAATGCTTGTTGACCATCATCGATCCACGTTCTCCCCTTGCCTGTTGCCAGAGGTCAATGGGAACGCGGAGCGTCGGGGGATGAATCCGCTGGATGCGGACAGGCTCAGTCGCTCCAGGCACCTTCGGAGAACTCCGTCCCAAAGCTTTCAGGCTTTCTTCTTGCTGCTTGAGTTGGGGTTGAAGAGTTGACGGTTGAGGCCGTCGCCTCCGACAGGAAGAAGTAGTTGTAGGGATGCAGAAGGGTCAGCCAGGGCTGCGGAGGCCGCGGCTGCGGCTGCAGCTCGAGCAGCGACAGCGCCTGCCGGCGCCGCAGGCTGGCCCAGGCGCAGGATGCCTCACGGATTTTTTAGCCTTAAAGCCCGAACCTTGGGATGTTCCCCCTTAAATTAGCAATTATACTAGGGGGTACGGGAATCCCGATTAAGAACTGCTAGTTTTTGGTGGAACATTGCAAAGCCCCTCCCAAATTGTCACAGCAACCTATTTCCCCTCCACTTGCAGGGACGAGCCAGGCCGGGACACAGAGGAGAGCAGCCAACAAGGCCGCCAAAGGGAGCTGCTGAGACAGAAAAGGCCTCCGAAGAGACAAGCCTCGGTCTGGGGGTTCATGGCCTTTGCAGTGCCTTGGGGGCTTTTAAGGACGTATAAACGGGAATCAGGATGTGGATGGGTTGAGGTTATATATAAGGCTTGGGGGTCCAAAGCTGTGACCCGAAATGCACGAGCCCTCACAGGTGAGGCCGACGAGAGACCGGCCCAAGCCTTAGCCAAATCCGGCCCAGGGTCGTAGAAGGTGCTGTGGCCAATGAGATAGGTCATCAGCACGTCCAGCAGCGGTGGGACTTGCCCAAACCTCGGGGAGGGCACACATTGTCATATACGCATACACACGCAGATACATAGAGAATTTGTTGAAAAAACAAAGCATGTAGGACACCAAGACATCCTTGTCCGCTCCCTTCCGAGAGAAGGTCCGAGAAGCGGGGGCGGGACGCGGAGGTGCGAGGCCAGGCTGAGGCACAGGACGTAGGGGCCAGGCTCTCCGTACGCCAGCTGCCCCAGGCCCCACCAGCCGGCCAACCACAGCAGCCACGTGCACTGCTCCATGGCTCCAAGTCGTTGAGTGCCGGACGCTTGGTGAGTGATGTCAAGGTCGGGGGGTCTTGAGGGGTGGGATGGGGTGGGTCCTAGCCCGAAGCTTCAGTTCTCAGGTAATTTCTGCCTGGTTCGGGGCACAAGGGTTGTCGGACTTTAGGATTCGGGGCTTCTTGAGCTGAGCTGGAACACTGATTTTGGTGGGGCTTCGGATTTCACGGTTGGTGGCGACACCACTTCAATGGCTATGCGGCCGATGACAACCTATTACGACGCACACCCCTTCGGATCGAGGATCGTAGCTATAAATGCACACGCCGCACCCCTGCAAACCTGTGAGTACCACCCCATCTGAGTGTGCTCTGCTGACAGAGACGCTCGCCTGAGAGATCCCCCAAAAACCCTCAACATCCCACAAAACTCGGCAGCCCAAATCCCCCGGGAGCCCAACCACAGCCGGCGGAAGGTGGTTGGCCAGAGCCGCTCTGTAGCTTGCTCCAGGAGGCCCCTAGGGCAGCCAGGCTTTGCTTTCTATGCAGGCATCAGCCTGCATGCCCCCTCCCCCCCCCCCCATCCGCATCTTGGGCATCTTGGGGCTTGCGCATCAAGACTCCGGTCCCAGCCGCAGCTTTCAGGCGAACCTCTCGCAACCTGAACCTCTCGCTCCCAACCCCGACATATGCATCCACGAAGCCACAAGCAGCCAGACGCCCCAACCCTTGAACAGCCCAAGCAAGCACACCAGTAGACGAGAAATAGCTCGCTTGCAGGGAATAGCTCGCTTCAGTCAGCCTCCAGTGGTTGATCTCCTCCACGACGCGCTGCCTTGGAGGGTTGTGAGCCCCCACTGCCACCGCCCTTTTTGGGGGTGGGCCCTCTCCTCTCCGCTCTCCCTTGGGGCCGTGGGCTGCTGGTTCAACCAACGGCAAGAGCAGTTCTGGGGTGCGGCACCTCAGAAGCCTCCAGCCATTTTCCTCTTCCCTTTCCCTGAAACCCTGGTCGCGGAGCTCCGGACGTCTGGTGCTGGTCCTTGTACTCCTGCATCCGGCGCTGGGCCTGGCCGGGATTAACCAGGAAGGAGAGTTTTGAAACGACGAAGAGCACAGGTCCTGGGTTGGCGTATGTTCCTTCAGGCTGCTACCGGAACACGCGTTAAGGAACGATGAGCCCTCTGCGCCAAGTTTCTTCAGCCCTGCTTTCAAGTGGCCATGTGGTATCTGCCATAACTAGGCGTGCCACTGACCTCGGAGCGCGGGCATGTGCCCAAGATATTTGGCAATCAGCAAACGGCTGAAGTGACGGCAGGCAAGCAGCTTGGCTGCTTCCCGGCCTTTTGCCACATGCCTGCTTCAAATGACGTGGGCAACCTTCCCTGTCCCTCCGTTCTCACTCCTACTGACGACTCCAGCAAGAAGGCTCAGATGGTGACTGCATTGCCTGTTTCCCTGGTTCATGACGAAGGGGAGGCAATTCGATTGCTCCAAACTTTGCATCGCTGGCTTGGCAAATCCAGGGAACTTTCACCGCAGGCTCTCAAGCTTTGCAAGAGAGCTTGCAAGGTTCCGGAAGGGTACCAGCATCAAGCAACCACCAACACCTGCTGAGGCCCACAAGAGCCAGCCTGTCAAGGATGAAACCTTGTCCAGGCTGCCAAATGCCACATCACCCCGGGCCATCTGTAACACTGTTGGCGCTGGGGTACATGCTGCCGCGCACTACTACGCCTAGAACGTCGCATTGCAGAACTCATTTGGCGCCGCTAAACTCTAAACCAAATCTGCTCCACCTTGCCGCTCCACTCCGCCATGACCGCCATCTCCATTTCCCCTTCAGCGCGTTCCTCGTCCTGCTCCACCTTCCCATCGCCTGCACTCTCCAAGCGGCTTTCCAACCTTGCGGCTTCGAGTCCCCAACATAAACTTTAGGGCTGTGGGCTGTTCGTTGTTAGGGCTTCGCTTGAGGATTCATGGTTTTGAAAGTGCCTGGCGCCAGGCCTAGGGGTCACTCTATTTGCGCCCAGGAGCATGAAGGCAACCTCCTGCAGCCTCAGGAGGTCCGGAACAGACTGAACCACATTGGGATGCTCATCACAAAAACCCAGGAAGCCGCTGGGCGTCATCAAAGTCTTGTCATCGCCCAGCCCTTGCACAGCGGCTATGCTTTTCAGGGAAGAGTAGAAAACGACAGCCATGGACAGCAACAAGGCGCCCATATATTGTCCAACTGCACGCAGTTCAGCCCGCAAGACCATGGTCTCGCGGCCGGGCAAGCCGCTCGGGGGTGAACTCAACGAGGTGATGAAGACCCAGAGGGAGCCAAAGAAAGAACCGACAGCGAAGAAACAAAACAAGGCTACTGTGGCAAGAGTACGGCATGTTCGATCTTCATCTGACCAGACTTTGTACGCCAAATGAAAAACATAAATGGCTTGCGCTGCCCATGCCAGGCAGGTCCAAGGTGTGAAATAAATCGCCCAGCTGAGGATGGTGTAAAGCCAGTGCGTGGCATAACCTGTCTGATTGTCGGCGGACTGTAGGAACTTGACGATAACCTCCTCTGCTCTCACAAGTGTGCTCGGAGCAAGTGGAGCTATGAGGGTGAAGCAAGCGACTTCCCACGCGGCAATGATCAAAAAATATGACCAGCCAATGTACTTGTAAACCTTCGGATTCATGCGGGCTTGCGAAAGAATGGGCTCTTTCCATACCATCAGGTGCCCTGATGTCCAAGAGCTGCTGGATTGCTCAACATGATGTGGAATCCGGTGGCTCTGGAAGTGAAGGTACTCCCCGTAAATCACCCCACGTAGCCAGTCTAACAGCTCTTGATAGCTGGCTTTCAGCAACAGCACGGGGCTGACCAGTGTGAAGAGGGCTTGGACGGCTGGCATTTGATAAAAGCACGCGCAGTCTTCAACTTTGTGGGGCGAAATGAACACGGACGTGCTGCCAAAGGCCCAGTATGCGGCCGTTGAAGCCGCAGTCGCCCGAGCGAAGACTGCCGCAAAGGCTGTGAAGGCAGCCATCTGCCTCCTCTTTTCAAGGACAAGGCAATCATGAACAACTGTGAAAAGGCACCACAGGGTGGTAAACAGCAGGAAGACTTGTCGGCCCTCGCCCAGAAGATGATTTTGGGCTCCTTCCTTCATCTCGATTGTGGTGCAGAATGTCCGCATGTCATCAACTGTCATGTTCGGGCACAGGGCAGGGGGCTGATATGTGATGTCGCCCCCAATAGCTATCATCCACGAAACTGCTGCCCTCATGCCAGTATGGAAAGACCACGAACTGGAAAGCTCTTCCCCGTGCCATGAATGATCTTTAATGCTACTAGACAGGCCCACGAGGTCCGCGTCTCCATTCAGCACGCTTACAAAGAAGCCTGTCGTTGACGACACATTCCCTGCAGAGAAGATCTTGAGATATAAACAGCCTGCCGCGGAAGGGTTGTTGCAAGGCTGATAGCTATCTGGGTCGATGTTCGTGATCGTAAAGATGAAGGTCAGAGAGAGGAAGGTCGAGATAAGTGTCATGCCCATCGCTTTACCATGAGGCTTGTAGCCCTTGACCGTGTCAAAGTGGAATAGGCCCACTGCTGCCGCGGGCGCAGGCGGAACATCAGTGCATGCGCCTGATGCAACAGCTACCTGATCAGGGGCCGGTGCGTGCAAGGAAACAGATGTGCCGCTGTCCCTGGTGTCTGCGGTGTCACGAAGCTCCTGATCTGCTTTCGAGCCGTCGCATGCGTCGCCTCCGTGTTGATGACTTTCGGAGTTTAGTTCAGGAGTGGCCGACGGTGCCACGACAACTTTCACCTCTTCCTGAGGTGCTTCTGACGGGCCGACCTCCTCCGTCACTTCTCCCGGGAGCGCCTGTGGCTCTTGCTCTGCTTCTGCCAACGTGGCCATGGGGGGAGCGCCGCACCAATCACAGTGCGAGGTGGCAGAACAACACTGTCTCACTATCCCTTTCGCAGGCCTTAGTATAATGACTATACTTTAAATCGTATACTCTAGCAGTATACTATACACATCTATACACTATACTGCAGTATACATTCCTGAAAAAATGTCATGAAGACCAATGATCATCCGGACAGTCATGCACTCCATGCTGGCACAGGCAATGGGGAGAGCCTGTGGGAAAGAATTATTTAATTGCCTTCCAGCACAACGTAAGCCTGTTTCCACAAGGGGGCATTGACACCCTTCGGCACCACTCCCAACTTTAACAAGAAATTTTGTGATAACAGCCCAGTAGCCGCACCCAGCTTCTGTGTAACGTAGTAGCCTATATTTACGACATAGTATATGCTATATCGTACTAATATAGTATATACTGTTATGTAGGATGACATCGTCCTAGCCTAGGTACTCATCTTTACGTCCTCAAAGCTGCTACTGGTACGACTAATTTTCCTTTCTTGGGGGGATGAGTACTGCACTGGTAAGACATGGCTTGGATCACAACAGAAAGTGCGATGCAAGGCGTGGGCGCGTTAGCAAACAAGTCCCACCAAACCACCAGATGGAAGCCCAGACGAATCCTGAAACTTCGCTCCAAACTCTGACACCCATGACCCCTGAACATTCCTTGCCGGCGGGGATCTCTCGGCATTGGGGGCTCAGGGGGCTACCGCACAGTGTGGGCTTCGACACCTCCTCATCCATCTTCCGCTTCTTCCTGGCATGGACGCAGGCGACAGGAGAAGTGTCGGGAGGTTCGCTTTCGCGCCATGTTCCTGGCACCCCGAAAAGTAAAAGAAAAAAGGGGACGAGGAAATTGGAGGTCCAAATGAACTCGCGTCGAGCAACCAGCACGTCTCCAGCGTTTCTCAGAACCTCTGGTTCGTATCTAGGATCGGCAACAACCTCTCTGCTTGCAGCCATGTGCCCAAAACAAAACACCCTTCATCCTCAACCTCCCCCGAAACCCCACACCATGCCCAAAAACACAAATGCCGGAGGTACACCGCAGCCAGGTTTCGCTTCTCCTCGAGGGCGGCCTTCTTCTTGGCATCCTGGGAAGCGCTGCGAGAAGCTGGTGCTGGTCTTTTTGAGGCTTCCTGGGCACGAAGAACCTCCCCGAGGCCAACAGCCGTCCACATACAGCCCTTGCGGTTAAGAAGCAGCACTTCGGGGATGCGTTTGGGGGCTGAGGCTCGGATCAGGGTTCAAGAGGGCGAGGTCGAAACTTCAAACCCGCGCATCCTGCTGCACTGCCAGGTCTTCCGCTCGCCTGGCGCTGCTTTGGGGACCGGGGGGTGCTTTTGGGCTTCAGCGCCAAAAGTCCCACAAAGCAATGAAATGAAGGCTTTGGGGGAGGTCTGGGGCTTTGAGGCGTCTGCCAAGGTGTACAGCGAGTAAGGGCCATCAAAGTTCAGGGTGGCAGGGCACGAGGTTCTCTCCGTACATGCGAGTCTTCAGAATCGCTGCGTGCAATTCCGGGGCACGGCTCCCATTCACGGAAATGAAAGGGCGGCGCGGCATCTTGAGCCGCTTCTGCTGCTCCTCGAGGGTGCGGCAGGAGTTGCACCGGAAGAAGACCATCTTGGCAGGCCTCGGGTGGCTTTGGTTCCCAGCACAAAGGGCACCAGGAAAGGTGCCTAGCTTCCCTCTGCCCCTTCAGCTTGGGGCCCCGGCGTTGCATTCCAGCCCCGCTTCTTCATCTCGTCCCAGAACCGGTCCGGCGGGTACACCTCCGTGAGGCAGGCGATTTTGAGATCGCAAGTCTGGGGAGGTTAGGGCCCTTTAGGGGATGCAGGCGGACTCTCAGGGCTGCCAAGGGGAGGAGGAGGTCGTATCAACCCATCAACCCTCCCAAGATTCCTCTGTTTTCAAGCATCCCGACGTAGGAAACTAAACATGTTGGACTATGAACCTCCCACTTTACAGACCCCGGCACCAAGGGCCCCAGCCCGACGGAAGTTGGGCGGAAAGCAGTCGTAGCACAGAGCGGAGGGACACTCGAGGCCTCAGCTCAGAACTTGGGGCCCCTTAGAGGCCGGTCCAAGGTTTGACAAGGTGAAGACTCAGTCGAGTACTCACACGATGCCAACAGGGCACCCTTGGGTCTCCCGTGATGGGCCCCGTAGCCCCCCCAAAGCCCTGAACGCCGCCCCAAAGGCCGTTAAGACCTTCAGGAAGCCGAAAGCGAAGCTGAAAAGCCCAGGTTTCAGCTCTCCCATTTCAAATGGCAAATTTTGCCAGGCTCCCGCGCAGTGGATGAGCATCCTCAGTCCAATTCGCTCAAGGTGTTCTTGAAAAAAACTATGGTATGGCCACTGGGGCGAGCATGCAGCCTTGTGTCGGTCTGACGCCTGCCAGCCCGTGCCCCTGCTAGTTAGTTTGCAGTGCACGACCCTCATGGAACCAACATCCCTTAACTGTCTGCTCTGTTCCTGGACTGAAAGGGCACCAGGGGGAGTTTTCAAGGTACAAACACTCAAGCCCCAAAGCTCGCAGCAACAAGCAAAACCAGACTCAAAGACCACGGAATCCTGCAGACCAAAGAAGATCAGGCAGGCCACTTTTCCCGAAACCCTACACCATTCTTGAAGGCCGTGAATGAACGCCCTCTCAACTGGCAGCTTGCCCCTTGCCGGCCCAGCCACCCACCCACTTCCGAGCGGCCGCGGCCTCATGGCCGGGGCGGGTGGCGTGGTTTGGGGCTTTGGGGGCACATTTTCGAGTAGTCTGGGGGTGAAGGTCGCAGCTCATAAAATCACATGGGGATTTGGCAACCGGCACGATGAGCCTGAACCTGGATCCTCTAAACCTTCAACCCATCAACCACAACACCCCTCTACACACGTGCCAGAACCCTCCCCTGAATACCAAACCCCGCCTGCATTGTAAAACATGCATCTGCCCCCTCCGAGACCCAGCCCCGCTTGAGATTTAAGGTGCTGCCCGCCCACAACCCCAGCAGGAGCTGGGCCCCCACACCGCAGGAGCTGCAGTAGTGCCAAGGACAATTCTGGGCAGCGCTTTCGAAAGAAATGAGGATTGAGGATTGAAGGCTTCGGTTTGGTGGCCGCCGCCCTAGACTGCGAAGGGTCGAGGTTGAATAGCCTGCTTCTTGGGTGTCCGTCGCGAGTGCTGGGCCTTTCCTTCTCTCTGCCCTTGTCCCAACACTCCAAACCTCCAAGTGGAAGAGCCACGTCAGGGTCCGGGCCCACTTCTTCGACACATGGCCGACGCACTGGTGGTGATACCTCAAAGCGGAAAACAGGGCAAGAAACTGTTCTCCATTCCTCTACCCTAACGACGAGTCGACCGTCAAGACTCCCGAAGCCTGATCCCCCAAGCCCCGAGTTTGCCGGCGTTCTGGCCCCGGCCATGAATAAAAAACCCTCAAACAGCCTGACGCCTCGGAGGCGCAGCTTCCAAGCTGGCAGCCAAGTGGCGACATCGGGCAAGAGCTGCACTCTTGCAGTGCCCTCTCGTCCTTCCAACTTGCAGATCATCCGCTTTTTGTTAGCTGGGTCGGGCGGCCGTCCCCCACCTCGCACCTCCAACCCCCAACAGCCTCAGCCCGCAAAGTGGCTCCTTAAGGCCGCAGGTGAAGCACTTCGGGATGTGCTTCAGCTTCAAGATTTCCACCTCTGGCTGAGTGAAAACATGTGACACACCGAGGGACGAACCAGTAACCAGGGTTTTTGACGCCCCCGCCTTCGGCTTCTTCACCGGGACGCAGAACTCCTCGGCCTCGCTGGCGCAAACGCTGGCAGGGACAGGTCAGCAAAAGAACGCCGGAATGTGCTCCAGGGCATTCCCGGAGTGCTTGGAAGCAGAGATTGCGAAAAAAATGCACCAAGGCCCGGGCTCCCGAGACCAAAAATGGAGTGGGCTCGGGGTTTAGGGTTTTCAGGCTGTAAGGAGCTTGGAAAGGAGTGGGGAAAGAAAGAAGGCGAGAGATAGAAGAGATTCGTATCGTTACTAACCTGTAACACACAAGGGTTTTGCATGTCACCGCCATGGGGGTTTTAGGGCTTGGTTTCGGGGGATGTGGATGTTCTATGAAGTTCCATTCATTCCTTTCTGTTTGCACTTTTCCACGTACCCGCGTAGTGGTCAAGTTCCATTTTGTGGTGTCTGGGACGCCGGGGGCGAAGGGGAGGGACAATAGACAGAGACAAAAGGCAGAGAGTGTTCCCTGAGTTCCAATACAGTAGATTCTGTGCGACTTGGACAATGGCTTTGCCTTTGCTGTTGCTTCGATGTACCTGGAACTCACGCTTCCTGCGCAGAGATGCGCAAAGTGTGGGGCCGAGGGCGCTGCGTACGTGAGCTTGCGCTTCACGACACGCCCCGAGCCGGACCTGTCCAAAGGGAGGTGAGTTGGGGGCCGTCGCAGCGGGCGTCGAGGATGCTTTCCACGGTGTTCACCAAAAAACTCAAAGTGCCTTGGAGTCTACTCCTCAGGGACTCAAGAACTCAAATTGGACTTCCTGGAGGACTTCCTCAGGGGCCTCATCACATCCTCTTCTGGAAGTGGAGGAGGGGCTACCTGGACCTGGAGGCCAAGAATGCTTGTGACTTCTCATCGGCTTCCGAAGAGTTGGGCTACAGCATGAAAACCTACGTTTCACGGATTCGGCGCTTTCTTTTCTCACAGAATGTTATGGTGGCGCCACTCGTTCCCCCAACCCCGCAATCTCCCAAGCACCGAGCCCTCACCGTCCTATTCTGAACCCTCGCGAAATGCCCTCCAGGAACAGACGGACAGATTGACAGCGCCCACGCAAGCGGGGGAGCGCCTGCACAGCCTTCGGCCTGACAGGATTGGCTGACTTCTCGGTACTTCAGAAACTCCGGGCTTTCATATCTTACAAAAGAGCTACGACACTCTTGGACAGCATATTTAGGGCTATGGGATAGCACAAGAGAAGGTCAGAGAAGAGGCG